CAAGTTTTATAGACTGTTTTTAATGAAGATTCGAATGAGCTATAGTATATCCAAATAAGTCATGTATTCGCGGAGAAACACCCCTCTGAGTCTTCCATGTCCCAAAAAATATTCAAAATAATTTTTTCAAAAATTTTTTTAAATAGATAGGGTTACTGTAGAATCCGCTTAGAACAAGTTTTATAGACTGTTTTTAATGAAGATTCGAATGAGCTATAGTATATCCAAATAAGTCATGTATTCGCGGAGAAACACCCCTCTGAGTCTTCCATGTCCAGAAAAAATATTCAAAAAAATTTTTTCAAAAATTTTTTTAAATAGATAGGGTTACTGTAGAATCCGCTTAGAACAAGTTTTATAGACTGTTTTTAATGTAGATTCAAATGAGCTATAGTATATCCAAATAAGTCATGTATTCGCGGAGAAACACCCCTCTGAGTCTTCCATGTCCCAAAAAATATTCAAAATAATTTTTTCAAAAATTTTTTTAAATAGATAGGGTTACTGTAGAATCCGCTTAGAACAAGTTTTATAGACTGTTTTTAATGAAGATTCGAATGAGCTATAGTATATCCAAATAAGTCATGTATTCGCGGAGAAACACCCCTCTGAGTCTTCCATGTCCCAAAAAATATTCAAAATAATTTTTTCAAAAATTTTTTTAAATAGATAGGGTTAAAGTAGCAATCTGCTTAGAACAAGTTTTATAGACTGTTTTTAATGAAGATTCGAATGAGCTATAGTATATCCAAATAAGTCATGTATTCGCGGAGAAACACCCCTCTGAGTCTTCCATGTCCCAAAAAATATTCAAAATAATTTTTTCAAAAATTTTTTTAAATAGATAGGGTTACTGTAGAATCCGCTTAGAACAAGTTTTATAGACTGTTTTTAATGTAGATTCGAATGAGCTATAGTATATCCAAATAAGTCATGTATTCGCGGAGAAACACCCCTCTGAGTCTTCCATGTCCCAAAAAATATTCAAAATAATTTTTTCAAAAATTTTTTTAAATAGATAGGGTTACTGTAGAATCCGCTTAGAACAAGTTTTATAGACTGTTTTTAATGAAGATTCGAATGAGCTATAGTATATCCAAATAAGTCATGTATTCGCGGAGAAACACCCCTCTGAGTCTTCCATGTCCAGAAAAAATATTCAAAAAAATTTTTTCAAAAATTTTTTTAAATAGATAGGGTTACTGTAGAATCCGCTTAGAACAAGTTTTATAGACTGTTTTTAATGTAGATTCGAATGAGCTATAGTATATCCAAATAAGTCATGTATTCGCGGAGAAACACCTCTCTGAGTCTTCCATGTCCCAAAAAATATTCAAAATAATTTTTTCAAAAATTTTTTTAAATAGATAGGGTTACTGTAGAATCCGCTTAGAACAAGTTTTATAGACTGTTTTTAATGAAGATTCGAATGAGCTATAGTATATCCAAATAAGTCATGTATTCGCGGAGAAACACCCCTCTGAGTCTTCCATGTCCAGAAAAAATATTCAAAAAAATTTTTTCAAAAATTTTTTTAAATAGATAGGGTTACTGTAGAATCCGCTTAGAACAAGTTTTATAGACTGTTTTTAATGTAGATTCGAATGAGCTATAGTATATCCAAATAAGTCATGTATTCGCGGAGAAACACCCCTCTGAGTCTTCCATGTCCCAAAAAATATTCAAAATAATTTTTTCAAAAATTTTTTTAAATAGATAGGGTTACTGTAGAATCCGCTTAGAACAAGTTTTATAGACTGTTTTTAATGAAGATTCGAATGAGCTATAGTATATCCAAATAAGTCATGTATTCGCGGAGAAACACCCCTCTGAGTCTTCCATGTCCCAAAAAATATTCAAAATAATTTTTTCAAAAATTTTTTTAAATAGATAGGGTTACTGTAGAATCCGCTTAGAACAAGTTTTATAGACTGTTTTTAATGAAGATTCGAATGAGCTATAGTATATCCAAATAAGTCATGTATTCGCGGAGAAACACCCCTCTGAGTCTTCCATGTCCCAAAAAATATTCAAAATAATTTTTTCAAAAATTTTTTTAAATAGATAGGGTTACTGTAGAATCCGCTTAGAACAAGTTTTATAGACTGTTTTTAATGTAGATTCGAATGAGCTATAGTATATCCAAATAAGTCATGTATTCGCGGAGAAACACCCCTCTGAGTCTTCCATGTCCCAAAAAATATTCAAAATAATTTTTTCAAAAATTTTTTTAAATAGATAGGGTTACTGTAGAATCCGCTTAGAACAAGTTTTATAGACTGTTTTTAATGTAGATTCGAATGAGCTATAGTATATCCAAATAAGTCATGTATTCGCGGAGAAACACCCCTCTGAGTCTTCCATGTCCCAAAAAATATTCAAAATAATTTTTTCAAAAATTTTTTTAAATAGATAGGGTTACTGTAGAATCCGCTTAGAACAAGTTTTATAGACTGTTTTTAATGAAGATTCGAATGAGCTATAGTATATCCAAATAAGTCATGTATTCGCGGAGAAACACCCCTCTGAGTCTTCCATGTCCCAAAAAATATTCAAAATAATTTTTTCAAAATTTTTTTTAAATAGATAGGGTTACTGTAGAATCCGCTTAGAACAAGTTTTATAGACTGTTTTTAATGAAGATTCGAATGAGCTATAGTATATCCAAATAAGTCATGTATTCGCGGAGAAACACCCCTCTGAGTCTTCCATGTCCCAAAAAATATTCAAAATAATTTTTTCAAAAATTTTTTTAAATAGATAGGGTTACTGTAGAATCCGCTTAGAACAAGTTATATAGACTGTTTTTAATGAAGATTCGAATGAGCTATAGTATATCCAAATAAGTCATGTATTCGCGGAGAAACACCCCTCTGAGTCTTCCATGTCCCAAAAAATATTCAAAATAATTTTTTCAAAAATTTTTTTAAATAGATAGTGTTACTGTAGAATCCGCTTAGAACAAGTTTTATAGACTGTTTTTAATGTAGATTCGAATGAGCTATAGTATATCCAAATAAGTCATGTATTCGCGGAGAAACACCCCTCTGAGTCTTCCATGTCCCAAAAAATATTCAAAATAATTTTTTCAAAAATTTTTTTAAATAGATAGGGTTACTGTAGAATCCGCTTAGAACAAGTTTTATAGACTGTTTTTAATGTAGATTCGAATGAGCTATAGTATATCCAAATAAGTCATGTATTCGCGGAGAAACACCCCTCTGAGTCTTCCATGTCCCAAAAAATATTCAAAATAATTTTTTCAAAAATTTTTTTAAATAGATAGGGTTACTGTAGAATCCGCTTAGAACAAGTTTTATAGACTGTTTTTAATGTAGATTCGAATGAGCTATAGTATATCCAAATAAGTCATGTATTCGCGGAGAAACACCCCTCTGAGTCTTCCATGTCCCAAAAAATATTCAAAATAATTTTTTCAAAAATTTTTTTAAATAGATAGGGTTACTGTAGAATCCGCTTAGAACAAGTTTTATAGACTGTTTTTAATGTAGATTCGAATGAGCTATAGTATATCCAAATAAGTCATGTATTCGCGGAGAAACACCCCTCTGAGTCTTCCATGTCCCAAAAAATATTCAAAATAATTTTTTCAAAAATTTTTTTAAATAGATAGGGTTACTGTAGAATCCGCTTAGAACAAGTTTTATAGACTGTTTTTAATGTAGATTCGAATGAGCTATAGTATATCCAAATAAGTCATGTATTCGCGGAGAAACACCCCTCTGAGTCTTCCATGTCCCAAAAAATATTCAAAATAATTTTTTCAAAAATTTTTTTGAATAGATAGGGTTACTGTAGAATCCGCTTAGAACAAGTTTTATAGACTGTTTTTAATGAAGATTCGAATGAGCTATAGTATATCCAAATAAGTCATGTATTCGCGGAGAAACACCCCTCTGAGTCTTCCATGTCCCAAAAAATATTCAAAATAATTTTTTCAAAAATTTTTTTAAATAGATAGGGTTACTGTAGAATCCGCTTAGAACAAGTTTTATAGACTGTTTTTAATGTAGATTCGAATGAGCTATAGTATATCCAAATAAGTCATGTATTCGCGGAGAAACACCCCTCTGAGTCTTCCATGTCCCAAAAAATATTCAAAATAATTTTTTCAAAAATTTTTTTAAATAGATAGGGTTACTGTAGAATCCGCTTAGAACAAGTTTTATAGACTGTTTTTAATGTAGATTCGAATGAGCTATAGTATATCCAAATAGTCATGTATTCGCGGAGAAACACCCCTCTGAGTCTTCCATGTCCCAAAAAATATTCAAAATAATTTTTTCAAAAATTTTTTTAAATAGATAGGGTTACTGTAGAATCCGCTTAGAACAAGTTTTATAGACTGTTTTTAATGTAGATTCGAATGAGCTATAGTATATCCAAATAAGTCATGTATTCGCGGAGAAACACCCCTCTGAGTCTTCCATGTCCCAAAAAATATTCAAAATAATTTTTTCAAAAATTTTTTTAAATAGATAGGGTAACTGTAGAATCCGCTTAGAACAAGTTTTATAGACTGTTTTTAATGTAGATTCGAATGAGCTATAGTATATCCAAATAAGTCATGTATTCGCGGAGAAACACCCCTCTGAGTCTTCCATGTCCCAAAAAATATTCAAAATAATTTTTTCAAAAATTTTTTTAAATAGATAGGGTTACTGTAGAATCCGCTTAGAACAAGTTTTATAGACTGTTTTTAATGTAGATTCGAATGAGCTATAGTATATCCAAATAAGTCATGTATTCGCGGAGAAACACCCCTCTGAGTCTTCCATGTCCCAAAAAATATTCAAAATAATTTTTTCAAAAATTTTTTTAAATAGATAGGGTTACTGTAGAATCCGCTTAGAACAAGTTTTATAGACTGTTTTTAATGAAGATTCGAATGAGCTATAGTATATCCAAATAAGTCATGTATTCGCGGAGAATTGCTTGCCTATACTACTTTTGGGACGCTTATACTTTGATAGGATGACTTTATGTTTATCCGCTTCTTCATTCCAACATGTGTTTATTTTTTATTTTTATATTTGTTTGTTCGAGGAGTAGCAAGCATGTGTTCAATTTATTTTTATTTTCATTTTAAGCTTATTTGTTACATTTCTTCGATTTTTCTGCCAAATTTTTTTATATTTTTTTTTAATTTATTACTATTCTATTATATTTAGAATCGAGAATTATCGGTTCCATCGTTTCTCCAATTAACCGGAACCGAACCTGTTGTATCCGCCCCTGCAGAAGGAATATGAATGAATAAAAATAATCCATCATCGGGTAGCATAGTCTGTTGTGCTTTCGGTTTGGGCCTTTTCCATGATGGTTCTATTCCATCTTCTATCCAAACAATTTTTCCACAAAATGAACTCGTATATACTTATAGATCCAATAACCCGAACCGAAAATTTCTGTTAATTGAAACCGATAAACCAAACCGGTTGAAACCAGACAACCCTACTAGAGTCACTCTTGGGACGAAGGTACAACGCGCATCTTGGACAAAATATCATTTATAGGGCAAAACGCCAAACAAGAAATCTATGCTAAGTTGAGGAAAATGGCATTTCCGGGATCCATAACGGGATTTTTTTTAAATTTTTACGAGACAGAATCCCTCGGGATTAATCCAATAAATCCCATAAATCCCGATAATCCCGTTCGGAAGTCTGTCCCGTCCGCACTCTATACTTAAATTTATTTTTCTTCTCTTTATTTTCCAGATCTTAACAATCTTGAAATTTTTCCAAATCCAACTGTTTATGATTTATTTCTACTTAATATCAAATTAATTATAATGACAATGCATTGTGGAGGAACTCGTTGTGCAAAAGATTCGTGCAGGTGTACTTGTGCTTGCCAATTTGCTTGTATGGGGCCTTGTGCTAAATGCAGAAGGCATCAAATGTTAAGACAATGCTTACTTTCTAAGGTTTTCAAATTTAAATTTGGAATTCATATACTGATGAGTAGGGACTCAGAAAAATGCAAAGTTTGTAGGTTGAGTTTATATGTCACTCAAACTTCAAATTTACCTCGTCATGTCTTTCCAAGTAATAAGTAGTAATAGGAAAAACATGCAAAATTGGGACTTTGAGACCCTTTCTATTGCCCTTCTATCTTCCTGTATCCTCAGGAATTTATTTACCTTTGTATTTATTCTATCATTGTTGGAAGGGGAAACCAAAGGGAAAACTCCCCTTTTCAAGTTGCGGCACTCAAACTTCAAATTTGGCTCGTTTCGATGGTCCCTACTAATGAGTAGGGCTAGGGGAACATGAAAAATTGGAAGTTTGAGACTCATTCTGTTTCCCTTCCATCTTGTTTTATCCTATGGGATTTACTTTCTCCTCATTTATTTTTAGTGTTAGAAAGGGGAAGGGAAAGGGTCTTAGAGCACTTAGCATGTTTTTGATCCCTACTAGAGACGAGCTGGACCTGGACCAAGGACCTGAGAGAATTGGAATCGGCTTTACATAATAGATTTTATTTTAATTTAAATTGATAAAATGTTTAAGAATAAAGTTGAAGGAGATCCGTTGCCCGTTGGTGTTCTAATTTTTTGGAAGTTGGATATTCCAACTAAAATGTCAGTTAATGTCTAGCTTTTGCTCTCAAAAAAATTACTAAAAAGTTTTAACTACATAGAAAATTTATTCTTCTCATTTTAGGGAGCCAATATTTGTGGACAATGTTGTGGCCATTCAATTTGCGAGTCAGGCTGGAGTGACACCAAAAGTAGACGAAATGTAACAACATCTAGAACAACCTCGTATTATTAAAAAACTTAATTATTTTGAGAATTGCAAAAGTTGTGTATATTACACAGATAATAAAAATTTTTGTAAAGTCTTAGCAATAGATCTAAAAACAAATTATCGAGATCAAGATTTTCGCATAGTAAATTTTTTTATTTCTCGAGCTTATTCAAGAATATGTAGCTGTAAACGAGTTGAGCAGCTTCTGGTTTTCAGCATTTTTGTGTTGATTAGGATTACTTAGTGTTCTCAAAGCAACTATGGCTAGAAACTAGCAAAAAATAAGTACAACAATTTGGATCTAATTTTAAGACCTACACATAATAGCTTTAAAATTTGAACAATATTGAATTATTAATTAAAAATATTTATTTAGATTATTTAGTGTGATCAAAACCTTAGCAATCAAGTATCTCTTCTTTCTTTCGATTTTTTGGATGTCAAATATATATTTTGACAATCATTATTAGAGTCTGGATTTTGCTAGTGATTTGCTAGTAAGTAGTCCATAATTTTTTGAATATTTCACTAATTTTTGGCATTTTTTTGTCTATATTTTGCCAATTTATTTCAATATTTTGTGGCCATATTTTACAATTTTATTTCAATTAAAATCTGGACTCTAACGTTGCGTTTCGCATTTTTACGTGATTGGGATTGCTTGAGTTGGCATATCCAACTTCCAAAAAATTAAATCACGGACTCAGCTTCAAATCTACTTCGAGTATATTTTTAAACATTTTATCAATTTAAATTAAAATAAAATATATTTTGTAAATCTGACTGCTATGCTATTTTTTAGCCAAAATCTTTGGTTTCGCATTGATGATTAGGATTGCTTAAGATTCCAGAAAATGATTAAACACTCAAATAAAAATCGTTTATTAAAATTAACAATCAAACAATAATCATTATGATTTGAATATTTAAATCAACAATCATTCAATTATTCACTTAAAAATGTTCATGCGCTACCATCTCCCATTAATATGTTCTGTAAATTTAAAAAATTAAGTTCTCAACCCAATCCTTTGACCACAATATATCGCAAGCCAAAAGCACAGCAGAGCTATAGCTTCGTTCAAAATGACGCTCTGGTATGGTTCGATGCGCCTCGTCGAGCTGAATCGAATCGCACAGAGGTTTCCCGGATTACTATGACTAGAAAACTAGCATAAGCTCGGTACAAAAACTGGGAACTAATTTAAGGCCCAGGCTGAGTAGTTTAAAAAATTTTGAATAATATTTAATTACACTAATACTTGGGATATTTATAATCGAGAAATAATTTTAAAATAACGCCTCCTTCTCTCGCTTGATAAATATTTTTGGATGTCAAATATAACCTTTGACAATTATTACAGCAAAACAGAACTTAGTTATCTATTCCTTCAGCTAATTCAAAAGGTCTATGTCAAAATATCTAAAAATTAAAACATACTAAATGAAAAAGGCGAAACAAATTTCGCATTCGGAAAATTTCGCAAATTTCGCATCGGAAAAAAGCGAAATTTTTCGTCGGACCAAAAAGCGAAATGCGAAACTTTTCGCGCTAAAAAATGCGAGAATGCGAAAGATGCGAAACGCGAAATTGCAAAATAAGCCCAGCCCTGGTGAACAATCCTATTATTAACCTACTTCCAATTTATCTCAAATATTTTTTTTTAAATTACCATATTCATTTCGAATTCCCATTTGCTAATGACGCCATCATGATCAATGTCCATCTATAAAATTTCGAAAATAATGAAAATTTAAAGGTTCTGTTTTCAAATTTAGGCTACTTTATCATAAGGAGAAATAACCATAGATATCGGAAAAATAGCCTGAGCATTGCTTGGCTTACAAAAATACTATGCGAACCTTGGATTTATATGCTACTATCTATCACATTTAAATAATGTACATATAAAAATTTATTTATGAAAAAATATATATTTTTTGGATTTCTGAAATTTCTAACAACGAGAAGGACAAAACACGGCCTAAAAATGGAATTACTAGAGACGTGCGAGACCGAAAATTTTTCAAGACTCAAGACCAAAAATAACAATACTCAAGAATATTTTTTGGTTCAATGGGCAAGACCAAGACTTCACCCCAAGACCGAGAAAATCCCAAGAAAATTCTTGGAATCAAGACTAAGAGTCTCGTAAGTCTCCAGGATTTGTCAATTTCCCGGTTTCAAAAACGCCATTAATTAATTCGGTGGCACTTACCAAAACACCCATCTAGTCTATAGAACACAGCTTGTCTCTAGTTTTCACTCTAATTTTATCAAATCTTCAACCTACCCATTCTTTAATATATTGCAAGGAATATCCCCTCAACTCCGCATCATCAACCTTTCCATTTCCATCAATATCCAGTTTTTTCAATTTTCCTTCAGTGAAGAAAGAGCGATATTTATTGATAGCCTCTTCGCTGTTCTCAACAGCCCAAACAGCCTTCCAAAATTTCGGGCCGTTTACAAATCGTTTTAATTCTTCCATGTCAATTTTGCCATCATTGTTTTCATCTGCTGCCTAAATTTATTTTTTAGGAATGAAAATGCTATTTTACTGTGCGGGCTTGCCTTATCTTAAAAAATTTCTAATCTCAAAAATGCATACATAATATTTAATTATTTATTTATGAAAATTAAATATGCGAGAATATTATTCCATTCTATTCGAATTTTTTTTAGTAATTTTATCGTTTATTTTTGCAAGTCAATATGAATTGACTAATATGTATGTTTTCAACAAGGTCTGTTCAGTTTAGACATGCAATTAAACTTTGCCGTTATTGTTTTCTTCCGCTGCCTAAATTTATTTTTTATGACTAAAAATGATCTGATAATGCGATAATTGTATAATTTCAAACAAATTTAGAAAAAAGTATTTAATATAATATAATTTATTTATGTATTAATTTATTTATTCAATATATTAAATTTATTCATTGAATACGATTAGATTTTCGTAATATTTTTGTAAGTCAATGTTCATTGACTAATTTTTTCAAATGTCAGTCTAGTGCGCGAGGTTATACATTTGTATAATTGTGAATTATAATTCATTTAGGAAAAATACTTAATATTCAATTATTGATTTAAAATTAAATATTCGAGAATATTTCTTTTCATAATTTGTTTTGCAACAGTAATGTACTATTTTTGTAAGTCAATTTTTATTGACTAATTTTTTTCTGTACAAGCCAGTTCTACGCTATAATTAGGGACACGCCCAACTAGACGCGCTGCAATAACAACGTAAAGCATAACTAGCTGGAAGATTTCTGACCTTTATCAATTTTGGTACCAATCTCTTAAGCTTAATATTCAATTATTTATTTATTTAAAATTAAATATTTGAGAATATTTCTGTTTCTAACTTTCTTTTGAGAAGTCTTGTCTATTTTTCGTGTCCGGACAATATATCGAATCGTTAAAATATGGAATAGGCTAAAAAAGGGTTAAAATCTCGAATCGGGTAAAAAGGGGTTAAAATCGCGAATAGGCTAAAAAGGGGTTAAAATGTGGAATCGTTAAAATATGGAATGGTTAAAATATCGAATAGGCTAAAAAAGGGTTAAAATATGGAATCGTTAAAATATGGAATGGTAAAAATGTCGACACGGCCAAAATCGATCAAAATGTCGAATTTTTTAAAAATGGCGCCAAAACTAGAATCCGGGCGTTACCGTAATACCGACGGTATTTTTCGATATTCCGTGTCGGTTGTACGGTACGGAATCCGACCGATAAAATTTAAAAGCTGATCGGTATTTTTCGGTATTTCGTACCGTATACGGTAAGGTCAAACTTTAGGTCTTAACTAAAAACTAATGCACACCACTCTAATTTTTCCATATCAGGATCGCGTTATGTTTTCCGGATCCGTACGATCATGCCGGACCGGATCCGGTCGATTATGCTTGATTTATCCGGTCCGGTTTTACTCGGTAAAATACAATGAACTCTGGCAGAAAAGATTGCGCCGGACTACGACATAAGAGACTTATCAATCAACTTATCATTAATAAGTTGATAAGTTGATAAAATCATCTACAATCAACGTATGGCACTCATCTGACCCTTTTTTAAAAGAATTCGACATTTTGACAGATTTTGGCCGTGTCGACATTTTTACCATTCCATATTTTAACGATTCCATATTTTAACCCTTTTTTACCCGATTCGATATTTTAACGTTTCCATATTTTAACGATTCGGTATTTTAACCCCTTTTTAGCCTATTCGCGATTTTAACCATTCCATATTTTAACGATTCCATATTTTGTACCGGAGCCCTATTTTTGTAAGTCAATCTTCATTGACTATTTCTATTTCGTGCAAGCCAGTTCAACGCTATAATTATACTAATAATTAATTCACCGTAAACAAGTTGGCCTTTTTCTTTGCACCAGTGTTGTTACTGCTGTTCTCTTCAACTGTAAATTTTATTTTATACTGAATTTTATTAAATATAACGTTGATAACCTTTAGATTCCTTTGAATTTACAAGAATAATAAGAACAAAAAGAATGATTAAATTAATTATTATTGGTGTTGCTTCCATTAAAAATGAGAGGCTTTGCTGTTGTTTTGTTGTATATTTTTTAAATTAGTTCTGAAATTTTAGAATTTATTTTGGAATTTGTTAGAGACTTTTCAAAGGGATCAAAAAGCCAAAAAATATTTAAAACAGAAGAATTAGAAATAGACAAGTGAGATAATTAAAGGAATACTTTTCCTTTGAACCTTAAGGTTGGTGGACTTTTGATGGACAAAGTTTCTAAAAATCAAAATATCACGTAATATTGGCCTGAGAAGAGCTCGGCATTTAAAAATACTTCAATGTTCAAAATATTTACAGTAAGATGCCAGGGAAATCATTGCAAAATTCTTATAAATTATAATTTCAAATAGTTAATACCTTTGAAATATTCATTGGGATCAAGAAACCAAAAAATATTTAAAAGAAAAAAATTGCAAATAGACAACTGAGTCCAATTAGACTAATATTTTTCTCTTGGGCATGTAGGGGGATAGCTTTTAATCCCTAATCTTCAATAAACATAAAATTTTTGCCTGAGCGTTGCTCGGCATCCAAAAAATAATGACCTCACAATGTGCTACATAGCGACAGGGAAATAATTTCACAATTTCTTATAGATAATTATAATAATTATTGCATACCTTTGAAATATTACAATGATATAAGAGCGGGTATGTTTGGATATGCTATATTATAAAGGCCTATGGCAAGTTTTGTCTCGGCGATGGTTACCAATGTATTTACCGTATTTGCTCTAATGGAATGACTCCTCTGTTTAAATGCCCCTTCTAATTGAATGACAAATTTCCGGGGTATGAAAAATCGATGGCTGTCATTCAATTAGAGCAAATACAGTATCTTGATAATTACCCCAGGTGGTGCGCATAAATGATCATGAGACGCATAAAAGTTCACGGCTCATGTCATAAAGTAAAGCTCTGTATTTTTCTGAGCTTAGTAATCGAACTCGTAGCAATACTGTCAAGGTACTATTGGGTGGAGGGAAAATTTTAATATAGACTTCTGGATGGGAAGCTGCCTAAGCGATTTTTACTATTCAAGATGCAAATTTCACGACACAAACTCAAGTTCTATGCGTATATTCGAAAATTTTCAAATGGATCAAGAAATCAAGATGTAATGCAATTTTTGCCTAAGCCTAGCTTGGCATCCAAAAATACTAACTGATGGAACTGACAACATCATGACGGCAGCCTATAATTGAAAATTTTTATAAATTATTATTTTAATTATTGTATACTTTTAAACATTACATCGCTGTAATTGTGGTTTTGTTGGGATATGCTATAATATAATGGCTAAAGCCCTAGCAACCACTTTTTTATGTATTGTAGTGATGCTCGGGTATCCCAATCCCTACTCTTGTTTCCCGGGTTTTTTCTTCTCCCGAGCAACACTAGTTTAGGGTAGCCCAAAACATGCATCTGTAAAAATAATGTTTCGACGTTGGTCTGAGCATGTTATGATACGGTTCTTAAGGCATATATTTGCATATTTAGGCCTTCTCGCGCATATTTGAATATCGGTGTATATTTCGGCAAATTTTGCATATTTTGTCCAGGCTACTTACTAATGGTAGTCTAAACGCTGCTTGACTTACAAAAATATACCACAACAGTTTAACACAATGTACTTTAAGCTTATGAATGCCTTCCTTTAATAACATTGGAAATTAAAAATATTATATTGTTAACTTCCTTACCTAATAGAAAATATTACCCCTAAACACGAGAAATTAAAACCCAAAAATAAAAATTTCATAAAATGCTCTCTCCAAACCAAGGCCATCTCTCAATACACATTTTTATTTGAAAAGACATAAAATTATATAATTCACCTTCAATTAAAAAAAGAACAATTTATCAATTAACGATTAACAAAAAATTAAATAATCAATTAGGATGTTGGTGACTTTTGAAGAAAATTGATCAAATTAATTGAACATTTTTATAAATTGTAATATAATTTTGTGTTAAATTGTAAAATATATAATTTTTTATTTAATGAAAAAAAAATATATAATTTTTTATTTAATTTTAAGAGATGTATACCATTTAAAATTTATGTTGTTTTTATTTTTGTAAGCCAATTATGCCTTGGCTAAAAATTCACTTCGGTAATAAGCCGATTGTGATTAAAAAGTTGAGCTCGTTTCTGGTCGGTTCAATAAGGGGAAGTCGGAGAAATTAAGGAGCATCTCTACTCACCAAGTATTAAACTTTTGGGACAGTACAGCACTAGAATGTGTTGGCCAGACCCTAGTTTAGCCATTGCCAAGACACACCAGTCTTCGGGCATATATTAAAGCCGACCAATTGGGAATAATTTATCGGAGAAAGAAAAACAGTTAAACTAAACAAATACGTTTTATTGTGACCGAGGAATTGGGTACTGAATTATTAGACTACAAAAAACTAAATTTCTGCCTGAGCATTGCTCGGCATTCAAAAATAAAGGATGAAACTACGTCCCTTAAGGACGGCATGCAAAAACAGCAAAATTTTTTAAAAATTATAATTTTAATTATTTAATACCTTTTAAACAATACTCCGCTTTAATTGAGGATTGAGGTTAATTGAGGACTCTCGAGTCGAAAAAGCTTGGTCTCGGTCTCTCTTTTAGCTCTTGGTCTCGGTCTTGACTCTCGGCTTTTTTTAATCTCGAACATCACTATTAATTAGATTCTATGAAATTTGAGATTCTTATCCTTTGATCCAAAATCAAAATAGTAGTAATTTTTGCCTGAGCTTCGCTAGGCATTCAAAAAATACAAGCTCCATGCTGCCATGACGAAGTGTTAGCAGGCCAATAATAACAATTTCTTATAAATTATTAGTTTAATTGTTGCATACTTTGAAGTGTATTCTGTCGTGATATGTCTAAAGGTGCTAACCTTGCGATTCATATTTTGATACATAAATAAATCTAAAAACATGGTTTTTTTAGGCTGTTGAACCGGGTTGTCAGGACAGAACAAAAATTCCTCTGCCTAATGGTTCATTAAAAAAGTGGCCCGGTTCATTAAAAATGGTGCCCAATTAGAAATATCCAACTCTATTTACTAATAAATGACTTTTAAAAATGAATTTAAGCATTGTTTGAACAATGCATCCAAAAAATGAGAATGAGTAGGTTAAGAAAGCAAAGCTTAAAATTTTTTTCTAAATTTATAAATTTTTAAATTTATTTTTTCATATTTTTAATTTAAAAAATGAAATTCGTCGCATCCTGCACTAGGTGAGACTGGCGCTGTTCCAAATCTAGCATTGTTTGACAACGCTTCCAAAAAATAACCTTCTTCGCCATGGATTATGTAACTCAAAAAACAAGAACTAATTTTTATAAATTTATAAATTATTAAATGTATTAATTTATATTTTTCACTCTAAAACAAAATATTTCATTTTTACCTTTCCATTAACTGCATCTTTAATCCACCAAAGTTTCATTCAATCTCTGATCCTACTAGACTGTTATAAAGTCCTAATCTTCTGTTGGATTCAACCTCAACTCAATCTAAGCCTGTATTGTTACTTTGGAATATCTTGAAAAGTTTTAAATACAACAAACACGTCTTGTAATATGCTAGACTAGCTTTGCTCCAAATTTAGCATTGTTCTAACAATGCTTCCAAAAAATATCAGCTCAGGTCAAAGGGTCACTTTTCATAGACCTGAAATAATTTTTTAAATTTATAAATTATTAAATGTATTAATTTATATTTTCCTTTCTTTAAACAAAATATTTCCCCTTCTAATTTACCATTATTTTAACTTTATTTATTAACCAAACGGCAACCAGGCAACAACAATAATTTTACCCATAACTATTTATTAAATAATTTTATTATCCCATTAATTTTCTTTTTTCTTAGAATGCCCTTATTTTATAGGGGTAAAGCTACAATTTATTATTAATGTTGAGACAACAAAATTTTTATAATTTTTGAGCAAATACATTTTTAAGTCACGCATATTTTAAATGTTTCTTAATTAATTTTTTTATTAATTTTTATTTTTTTTTCTAAGATTTCTTAAAATTTCGTCACGAAAGATATAAACAAGGGTGTGCCGAAACTGACTTTAAAAATTGAAAAGTAAAAGGAGAAAACCGAAAACACGTTCAGGCGCTGTACCAGCTGAATTAATGTAGGGCGCCGTTTTAACTTTATTTTTTAATAAATCTTAAATCCTACGCTAGTAAACGTGTTAAATGATAGTCATTTGGATCACCATTCCTCCCTAGTATACATAGTCCCAGAGAGATATCTTTAGTGTTTTCGACATTAGGCTGTTTATTAGAGATGTTCAAGACTCGCTCTTGAGGGTTTTACTCAAAACTTTTCTTGGGGTTTTTTCGGTCTTGGTCACGAGTCCTAAAAAATTTTCGGTCCTGGACATCACTCTGCTTATTTTCTAAGAATACTTCCAAAACATCAGTTCCAAGACAAATATAAAATATATAAAATTATAAAAAATAATACTTATAAATGTATTAGTATATCATCTATTTGTATTTTGAATTGTTGGAATCGGACGATTATTTTTGGAAGCTGTGCAAAGCACTAGCTAAAAATCAACCATAAATCTAATTAGCTTTACCTCTCCTTTAACAATCAAAGTTTATTTTTCACCTGGCATATTAATACCAAACAAAAATGAATAAAAACATTATTATTTGTCTGTAAATGCAAATAATTATTAGCTCTAAAGCTAAGTATTGGCCTCACTAAAAAGCATGCTTGGGGGAAGGGGGAGTTACCCAACTCCCTCATAATATTCCATATCTTTCAAATCCAACCATGTCTATTTTAATTCTCCCAACCCTCTCTATAGATCAGAGACAAAAGCTGACGTGTTTTTTCTCAAATTTTAACATCTCTGATTTCTAGCATAGTATTTTCAGATTGTCATTAGGTAGTTTAATTTCCAAGACAAGTTGTCTTGGAGCTTTTCGAGACATCAGTTTCAAGACAATATTAAATATATAAAACTAAAAATAATAATAATTTTTTAGTTTATATATCAAGCATTTGGGCCATA